TACGATCAGTTGTTTTTTCCCAATTTTCTCTTAGGCACGTACCATATCAGAATTTAACTATCCATGTCTCCATAGTATGAATTACACATGTACTCCAGCTGCCGAATTTACTGTATCTACCGACTCTTATTGTATTATTGTTAAAAGTATCATCTCCAGACATTTCGCTTGCCTGCCTACGTCCAGCACGAGCTTAAACTTAATGGTATCAGTGAGCATATGAGGGCTGTAAACGTCTACTAATTTACGAACGAACGAAACCTATGCAAGAAAGATGAACGCGCGCTCCCTGGGACAATATTTTAATTAACCCGAACTTTCAGGCTCTTATAGGAGAGCATCATCAGAGACTGTGAGAATACAACAACAAAAACGGTTTTATAGTCAAACAACGAAGGGTAGGGCTTAATGAGAAGACATTGTCGTTCGCGGTAAGACTGGGTCCACTCCGTCTCATGGCGTGGTGACGGCTTGCGTCTTTGTTTGGGAACTGTGCCACACCTCTTGGTCGTGTGAGCGTACCGCGTGGTTGCGGAGGGTATATCGACGTGCCCTTGATGGAGTTATTGTCAGACACCCACGTCTCCCCCAATTCCCATCCTGTCTTGCTGTTGGCTCGTGCCGTTTTCGGCGTGCTCGCAAATTTAACTGCGTGGCGTCCTTCCAGAGTGAGAAGCGGCTTGAGACCGTGGGTCGCCCTTCCATACTGCCTGTTTTTTCTCGACAATTCTTAAGCTACGTCGTCTTCCAGACTGCCTTATCTAACGACGAGAACAGTCATGGTATAGAATTTAGTAAACTACACCACATTGCCCCTTCCCTGTGTTCTTGTTTGTATCAAAAAAACAAATCTTAACTTTGCTATGGATGCAAATGTCCTTTCCGCTGAAAATGTTCATCTCTTTTGCATACCATATCCTTTTATATAGTTATATTATTTTTATCAAGGCTTTAAGGTTTATTTTACACTTTATCATTTAGTTAACAGAAATGAAAGATATTCCTCCTATCGTCGAGTGTCCCAACGGCCTATTTCTATTAAACGTCTATCGCAACGGCGTTTTTCTCGTTGCTGTCTGCGCTGCCGAAGGTATCTTTTTCAATTCGGACCAACTACTTCCATTCAGTTTCACCCCTCCTCGTACTCGAACTACTTAACCAAATAGTATTCATCTTGGAAGACTATTATGGTCCTCTTTCAGAGACCGTTATAATTGACAATCTGGTTGGTTCTTTCGAGGTAAGTTCACGTGAGTTTTTTTTCATGAAAAATTTCCCCATTTTAAACTTCTACACTCTCTTCACTTTTACTGTCTTGGTGACTAAATTTTCAAAACCTTTAACAACTGGTTTAAACCCTCTTTACCGCACTTTGGGACGTCCTTAATATGTAATTCTACTGAATTATTGTCTCTTTCCATGTCTTGGAGCATTTACTCACATTCGAAATCAATGGCTGCCCGTGGTAACGATCCTCTCATTTCGTAAGCATGGGGTTTTTAAATGCCCACGCATGCTATCGATTTCTACGCGCTCTTTTGTGCTATATTAGAAGTCTTTGGACGTCCTTTGTAATTTGACCTTTCGCCAAAATGAAGTGACTTTCAAGGGGGCCAATCTAACTTCAGTTATACTGGTGCTAAACCTGTCCTTGGTTTGCAGAACTTCACTAATTCTTTGCAATCCATTCATTAATTTTTTGGGTATACAAATACAGCAGTCAAGGGTGACCTAAAGTTATGCAGTTACAGTGGTGTCCCGCATAACTTTAAAGGCGAGACACGCCGTTTATAGGTTTTATTTTTAACTTTTCATCTTGATACGACGCCAGTAAAGTTCAATTTTCATCTGCAAATAAAAATTTGTGGACACTATCAGTTCCCAGAATCCTACCTGCTATGTACAAACGCCCAGTTTATTCCACCCCGCCTTTTTAGCTGCTCGATGAAATGCTGGACAATGGTTTTCCGATGTCAACAGAATCCAATATCCTGAAGGAGCTGATAAAGCCTCCCAAACTCCTGCGTTCCCTCACAGATGCAGTAACTGGTCGGCATTCTGGAGTTACCTCTACTTTACCGGCCAACCAGCTGACAAACATTCGTTGGCGCCGCTCTGGCGTCAAGTACACCAACAACGAGGCGTTCTTCGACATCACAGAGAAAATAAATGCTATAGTTGACCGGTCAGGCACTGTTCTGCTAGCCGATGTAGAAGGTTCGGTAAGTAGCCCGATTTATTCAAAATAGCTCTTTTACCGTTTGATTGCTTCTGCAAAGTCTTCCTCAGTAGCAACACTTCCACGTAGTTCAAGATTGAGGTTTGGAGCATTGGATATCGAGCCGCCCCATCTATAAACATTTCAGGGAACGAGCGGGCAGTTAACGAGCTATCTGTGCATGTGTGTGTGCTTGTGTCCACCAGTGAATCCTGGTCGTTTGCAGCCAGTAGGCGAACGGAAGGCCACGAGTGTTTTGCATGACGAACTCGGTGCCGGAACGGATTAAACTCATGAAAAGAGGCTCTACTGTACTAGTGATCTTCGCAACTTGCAAAAGCTGAACAATCTATTGTTTTTTTATGTCGTTCATGTTTGGCAGGTAAATATTATTGTTTCTAGGCAGAAGGATGGCTGTTTTCAGCAGCTCTGACTTTGGCCAAGTCAAACCAGTGCATACAGAGCTTAGTCGTCTTGTGATCAGAGGCTGGATCGGACATTGTCTCTTTTGTAGCAGTTGTTTGAGGCGTTTGGGTCGAGGGAAGGTTTTTCGTTTTTCATGGATTCGAAAATTAGATGCCTCCGTCCTCGCCTCAGACACAACCTTTAAAGTTCGAAGATTCTGCCGGACAACTGTTGAGGTCTTATTAAATGGTGAACAGCAATCCATGTTGTTATTTCGTGAAGAACTTTTTGCTGGGTAAATATTTTTCTGGATCGAAGTCCAACCAGGCCTGCTGGTGTTACTGTTGCACCATCCACCATCAGTTATTCAGCAGAGCATCTGTTTTATTTCACAGCCAGCCCCCACCGAAATTTCTTGCTATAGCCGCACCTGCAAACGCGCCGAGTTGTCGGCAACTAGGCAGTCCATGAAATATCTATGTTTAAACGTCTCTCTCGACTGCATTTCTTTTCCCATTTACTTATTCATCCTCGGAGACTCGTTTGATGGTAACGCCGTTTAAGTATTTATATTTGTTCGATGAGGAGCCTGTCGTAAAAGTTCCGAAACCCACGTTGCCACACACCATGCTCGACTTTGGTGGGAGAGTAGGGCTAATCGAGTATTGCGCGTTTGGCCCTGAAGGAGGGCGTATTGGCCTACTAGCAAATTCAGCGTAAAGTCAACAGTCTGCACCAGGCCTTGTGCGATTGGCGTTTGTCAGTCCAACCTGAATGCAGGAAAAGAGACTCCAGTCCGGAGCTAGCTTTTGAATGAGAGGTTTCAATTCTGAGGTCTTGGTAGGTTGAAGTAGGGTCGGTTGGGATGGAAAGTAGTCAAGTAATGTGTACGCTAGTTCCCCTTATATGTAAACCTTTACAACTCCGCCACCACTAGGTTCACCCCCTGTGTTCTGCCCGTTTACTTTGATCCGTAGATTGACTGCCTAGTTCACCTATCGGGCCTACCTGATCTTACACTGAGCTTCCTGAATGCCCACCTTCTGGAGAACACCAGCCTCCATCCGTGCGTGCGTTACGCTCGTTGGGACAAACAGCGCATTCTCTCCTTCGTTCCGCCCGATGGTCACTTTCGTCTGTTCAGTTATTACATTCCGAACCTCAGGTACACTGCCCCCCCTCCCACCTGTCGTCTTCCTTTCCGTGTGCCTCTCTGTATGTGTATTTGCGTGCACCCTGATGGTGATGTTCAGGCTTGACATGCAAATTAATCGCCCTTATGTCGTGCAGTTTCATAAACAATTGTCCGTCCTTTGTTCTGTACACTGAAGGTCAGCGTGTTATTGCTAGTTAGTAAGCGGTAGCAGTATCTACTGCTTTCATCGATTTTACTTCCTGGCGTCTTATTATAAAGGACATGGTATGCATGAAAATCAAAAAATGTGATTCATATTGTTATGTTGAGAGGTCGCCGTTTCTGAATCCAAGTAGATAATTGACAGTAAAAATGTAAGAGGTCACCAAGTAGACTGGGCTTATTTACTGAATGTCCCATCACTCGAGTGCCTTCTTTGTTCATGTTCGCTCATCCTGTTACTTTAACTTTCTAGCTTTTGTTTTGATGTGGATTCAGTACATGCCCGACTTGCTCTACCTTTGCAGACCTCCGTTTATAATTTCCTCTCGGCAGTGTCATACGAAGTGCAAGGGAGTCCAGATTACCCGGTGATTATGGATATTTTCCCTAAGACATAAGCATGCCGGCCACAATTAGAATCCTTGATGCGGCGGAATAGTTAGTAATAATCGTCAACACCACCATCATCAACAGCGTCTTACTCATCCTCATGTGTAAAATGTCTAAT